GTGTGTGTGTGTGTGTGTGTGTGTGTGTGTGTGTGTGTGTGTGTGTGAGTGTGAGACATCGTTTTGTTTTTCCATCCATGTGGGGACCAACAGTCAGATTGGGGACATCTTTGTAAAGTGAGGCTGTTTTGGCCTGATCATTAATTCTTCAACAGGCAAGATTATGGTTAGGATTTAGGTTGATCAAAGCCTTTATTTTGAGGCACATCATTAGCATTATGGTTGCATTGTTTTATACACTGAGCCTGATGTTTCTATGGTACACTGCAGGCGGAGGATTTTTCGAAACATCAGCCATTAACAGCCCTAACTTTTTTCTTCTTGATGTCCTAACTTTATAACTTGCAGTCAAACATTCCACCTGTTGGGAGGCTAAAACGATAAGCACATCATGATTCTTCTCCCTATCGGTTTAATTAAGTCTTATCAACATGACAAGTGCTGATACTATAGGTGCTAATTAAAAGAATAGTTGGACATTTTGAGAATTAGGTTTATTTGCTTTATTGATGGGAGTTAGATGAGTAAATCAATGCCACTTTATACGCTAAATGTGAAGCTACAGCCAGCAGCTAATTAGCTTAGCATAAAGACTGGAAATGGGAGAACAGCTTGCCTAGCTCTAAAATCCAAGCTCTGAAAACCAAGCTTTAAAAACGACAATTTGTGGTTTTTCGATGACAGACGGTCACTGCTTCCGACTGAGACATAGTCTGTCAAATAATCTGCGTAAAACTACAATATGTTACTTTTACTCTTTGTTTTTGTTTTTTTTTATATGTAGGAAACAAAAACATAATGTTAGGAGCTGGTGAATCTTAATGCTATGCTAAGCGTCTCGTGGTATCAATCTTCTCATCTAACTCGGTGAGAAAGCAAAGAAGCGCATTCCCAACAATGTCAAACAATTTCCTTGACAAAATCCAAAACTGCCCTGTGATATTTGGCTGCAAACCAATGCGGGGAAAAAAAGCACATGTCACTGCATGAACACACTTATTCATGACGTCTGTCATGTGAAGAGAATTGCCTTCTGGACCAAAACATATTTCACCTTGTTTTGCTTTTGCACTTTTGCACCACGATTCCAAACCCCCCAAGAAACATTAAAAACGAGATCCATGTGCATCAGATGTTTCTGGTGCTCTTTTGGCAGCAGGTGAAGGGTAAAGACAGGGTTGGAGGAATGTAGTCGGTGAAAGGACCTTACAGGTAAAACAAGATAAAAGTGTGTGTGTGTGTGTGTGTGTGTGTGTGTGTGTGTGTGGTAGCATGTACGGCTGTTTGCCTCCCTTCCTTATATGTGCACAGAATCTATGGCAACCCGTCACTGTGGCCTTCCTGTTCTTGACTCCAAATCTTTCTTTCTTTTTCTTTCTGTCTTTCTTTCGTATGACAACAAGAACAACTGCTACAACTGAGTCTACAAGTTGTTTTCTTGACTTGGTCCTTTCTCTCCAGGATAGTGCTAAATATATATACTTTTTATATTTCAGTGTAATAAAGATGCTATTATGTACTGTACATGTGCATATTTTGTTTGTCTTAAAAAAAAAATACCAAATGTTTAAATTGTCTGCTGCTAAAATGTGTAATATACAGTATTATATGAAGGAGCATTTTGTTACGTTCAAGCAATTGCTGCTCTTTCACAAATTACTTTCATAGATTGGTGTTTTTGTGCAGCTGACTGATGTAAACAGGACATCTAAGTGAACAAAACGAGAAGTGAAAGTCAGCATTAGCTGGCATGGAAACCACCACAAACTTTCTGAAACAGCATTTATTCAGATACAACTGAAAAAAACAGAAAATTCCTGAAAATGTTTAAAAGACACCACGTCAATGAACTGCACTATTGGAGTTTACAATAGTGTTTAGATGTCTAATGGTTTGTTACTGAAAACGTCTTTGTTGGGGGATTAATTGTAGGAAAACCTTTACATTTCCCCAACAGTATAAAATGCAAGGTGTACAGCAGCATGAGCTAATAGTGAACATTAAAGCATTTTACTGCAAAATTCTGCAGTCAAAATAAAAAAGATGAAGTTAAATGCAACCCAAAAGGAAAATAACTACACAAGAACAAAACATCGAAAGAAAAACCCAATCAATATATATAAATACAAATCCAGATATTGCAAAAAGACTCATTCCTAATTACTGTTGACATTTTAAACAATTAGTTTGCAGTTTCTCCATGTTTGTGCAGCCAACTGAAGTATGAAGTCTTTGAAAATATATATATTTGTTGCTAGAACCCTGTCCTTCAAAAGAGCTGTTTTAATATGAGAAGGGATAATAAAAGAGTCCTTTGAGCATCCAAAGAAAGCAAAGTCTCTTATCAGGAGAGAGAGAGAGAGTCGGGTTTCAGATTCACTGTTGCCAAGGCAGCTGGACTTGTTCTCCTCATCTAATAAGTTTGAGGCATTTGAACTAGGAGCTGCTGTTGTTGGCCATAGTCCAGTCCATTTACTTACAAAAATATTTAGGAATTAAATGAGATAATTACTGTAAATATTCTACTTATTTCTCTTAGAAAAGATACCACCATACAAAATGATAATATTGTTGTGGTTCTTTAGGAAACACTAGAACCTTTCCAGGGAAGGACAAATGACACTGACCCCATTTCGGGAACACATGTACCTCGTGTCCCTTCTGTCAGTGTGTGATTTATTGACCTCTGGCTATCAGCATAGTCCGGTATTAACACGTGCCACCGGTGCGTAACTGATCCAGACTGTTTGAAGGGAGTGGGCTCCAATGTTCAGCCTTGAAAAACTTTGGAAAACAATATTACACTTGATCGACAACAATGAATAACTTATGAGGAAAAACTTAAATCATATGAGCCACGTGCTGATTGGGGTGAATGTGAAAATAACTTGGCTGCAGCGAGGGGACCAGAGGGGGACACCGTTTTATATTTAGACAACCGGAGAAACGCGATAATGTGTCATATACTGGACAGCACGGACCTGATCCATCAAAGCATATTCTACTGAAGCCAAACGAGTCAAAGTTAACATATGGATGCCTTTATGATCATCCCCTCTCCACGTCCTCTCCCTTTCGGATCTGGTCGGATCCAGTCTGGGTGAAGCGAACTTCTTGGTGCGAGATAATCGGCAGATGATGTGAGTTAATGAGGCGCAGATGCGTGGGGACAAACTCAGACGCGCTCCTCTCCAGCGACGACAGGTGCGCAACAAGTGAGCGAGAGGAGGACGAGACGGACAGAATAAAGGAAGTAACGGGAGGGAGAGGCGGAAAGTAGAAGGAAGGAGATAAAGCAGAAACACCTCCTGGGTTTCCCCGTTATGGATACGAGCCAGAGCGCGCAGGCCGCCGACATGGGAGGAGAGCACTCCGCCGGGGTGTCCGTGGTGGACCGGGACCGAGAGAGGGGCGAGGTGTCCAGCCCCTGCCCACCGGCCAAGCAGCGTCCCCTGCGGGTGGTGTACGTCCTGAACGACGGGCTGAAGTCGGTGATGGCCAGCAGCCCCGAATCCGGAGCGCTGCAGTGTCTGCAGAGAGCCTGCGACTCGGAGAGCGCGCTGCTCACCACCGTCACCTTCGGACGGCTGGACTTTGGAGAAACATCAGTGCTTGACAGTTTCTACGATGCAGGTGTGTGCTACTTAAAAAACGTGGTTCAACATTTAAGTCGTTAAGGTTAGAAATGGGAAGGGCATTTTTTAATGCATGTTGTATGCGCATAAGTTGCGTGGAAGTTGTTTCTACTGCATGATGAAAAGTCACTGAAATGTTGTTGAAACAACGGATGTACTTTGTGCAACTTATGTCTTTTGACCAGTAAATCACCAAAGCCCTGTTGCGAATCTAATATTATATGTGCAGCAAGTCAATTTTATATTATAAGGGCAGTAGGCCCTATTTGTTTATTCTAACTCACTCATTTTACATTATAAATGCGTAAATAGAAAACATTAGAAGTCATAACGTGATACAATATAAAAGGCTTTAATGACCTCTGGGGCTCTATGTCTGATGTTAATACTTAATACAATATGACATCGATAACTGACTCTTTTTAAGGGTTGTTATTGGGGACAACTTTTTGACAAACTAAAGGGTCTCATTAGTTGAAATCTCAATGGACGATGGAGTCAAAGAAAATCTCTTTATTTTTTTCTTTTAGACAGGATGTGTTTTGATTGCCTTTTGGTACAATAAATTGGAAAAAGCATGCGATTAGTTTGAGAAAAAAACTCAACGCTGATTTCATTAAGATCCATTACATACAACATTCAAGTTTCTCAGTAAAATACAGAGCCATCATTTACAGTGCAGATCTTGGACTAGTAGTAATGTGGTTTGCCTTTTTTAAGGAAGTCTATGAGAAAATGACTCATAGACTTGAACATGAACATGACTCTACTTCTCACTTGATTTATTCCCTCAGTAAACATTGTGAACTAAGTTTATGGTCTCAATCGTTTCAAGTCTTCTTCAATACAGCATGATGTCATACCTTGTGATTGACAGGTCGATACCGCTACCAGAGCTACAGTATATACAGCATTTCTTCGCCACTCCTCCACCGTTGAAATATGGTCAAAAAACCAAGATGGCGATGGCCAAAATGCCGAACTCAAGCCTTCAAAATCGCAGTCCACTAACCAATGGATGACATCACGATGACTATCCACTTCTTATATAATAATTTCACATACCTAAGCACCATTTACCATAAAGGGAGTACACGCCAAGATACTCAAACCGGATCAACCTTCATAAGACTTTAACAAACGTAAAAAGTCCAACTAACACGGCACCAAAACCAAACCCTCAAAAGTGTGTATTATCAACAGCACAGGTACAGGACACTCTTAAACTATCCATGTTCCAAAAATCAGTCACTCTTCAAAAAGAGTCGCATTACACTGGACCCCAGAAGGAAAGGGAGGCCGATAATAACATGGCCCAGGATGATAGAGAAC